GTGGAGGATTGCGATGTATTTCCCGCGCAATAATTAATACCCATTTATCGACCAAAAAATAATAATAATAAAAATTGAAAGAGAATTCTTTGGCGCAGACAGGGATTGGCACGACTACCTGCCGCTTTACCGCGCGGCGTTAAGGGGCGACTGGGCCACGGCCAAGGCCATCCTCGACGGAGATCCGGACGCGGCCAGAGCAAGAGTCGCCTTCACCCTGGAGACCTCCCTCCACATCGCCGTAGGCACCGGAAAGGCGATCCCCTTTGTGGCAAAGCTGGTGGATCTGATGCCCGACGAGCACCTGGCCCTCAAGGACGAGCTGGGATTCAACGCCCTTCATGTGGCCGCCCTCGCAGGGAACACGGAGGCCGCCAGAATCCTGGTCTCCAGGCTGCCGGATCTGCTGTACGTGCAAAGCAACACCGGCAGCTTCCCCATCCACAAGGCCGCCATGTCAGCCCACAAGGAAACCCTCCGATTTCTAATTTCTCAGACAAAGGACGACGTCAATCCCAGCCCTTATTTCGGTGATAAAGGGGTTATGCTCCTCATCGATGTGATTGATGCTGATTTTTTTGGTCGGTTATGTTTATATGTTATTGCGGTTTCTATTTATATATCTCTGGAATAATTGTGGATTGATAAGGTTGTGTTTGGTTGGTAGATGTTGCATTGGAATTGGCTGAGAAGTACCCCCACCTGGCGCAAGAACAACTTTCGTCTGGTAATTCAGCTTTGAAGAGGTTAGCCTTAAAGGATTCTGCGTTCTCCAGTGGAGATCGATTGAAATCCTGGGAGCGTCTCTTGTACGCTGGTGAGTTNCTTATCCTTTTTATTTGTTGCTTGTAGTATTTATTTTATATCTGGTTGATGGATATGTGGTAAAAATTGAGCATGGGAAATTCAATTCTGACAATATGATAATTCACATTGGTGGAAAAAAAGCAATGTGCCAATCACTACATTTTTGCATTGAAGGTTTTCAGCTGGTGTTGCGGTCTGAAATACAAAACCCTGCTCCAAATTCAGGGGATATTGAGGACCAAACTTGTAGCACTCTCTTTTGTCGTGGCAAGTATAATTTTCCCGCCCTCATGATCATATCTTCCGCTTGTTACTTATGTGAACTATATTATTTTGACTTGTGAGAAAATGAACAGAGGCTTTACATGAACTCAGTGCTAAACCACAATATTTATATTGTTCTTATGTTTTATCAACACCAAAATCTCACTGTGATATATGGGGGCTAACTCCTATACAAGCCTTAAACAAGGGAGTTCACTGGCTAATCTGGGTTTGGAAAGAGGCTAGACTAATGGCTATTAGTTCCAGTGATATGTACCCGAAACTTAAGTTTTTCTTCAAAACTAACGGATGAAGGTAATTCCTAAATTTTTCTTTCTTCCGACTAACATTCTTCCAAAGAGAGCTTAGTTTGGGAAAAGAAAGACACATTTCGCATAATTACAAAATTACTATATACAAGTTGGATTTGAAGTTCACCCAAATGACTCTAAATAAAACAAAAAACAGCCAGTGTGCTCGAATAAAATGCACTTTTTCTGTGGGTGGGAAAGCCTCCCATCCAAAAGAAGCCTGAAGGAAAAATAGTAGGGACATACAAATGTGGACATTATTGGACAAATATGGCCTATGGACGTATTTAATTGTGTACCATTACAGCCACATTACTTCAAGACTTCATGATTCAGCATATTTGTTTTGCATGCTTAAGAACGTCTAAACTAGCTTTCATTTTTTTCTTTTCCTTTTCCTTTTTCTTTGTTTCCTTCGTTTCGTTTCTCATTTAAATTGGCTAAACTTCCATCTCAGTTAAAATATGAAAATCATGACATCCAGGGTTTAAAAGTTGGGACAGAGTGATTCAGAATTTGCATTCCAATCTTTCGGACGTCATCAAACAACTGGGTAATAAGAAGTGCTTGCACATTTGTCTTTTCTTTTTTCCTCGCTAGCTCCACTTTTTCTCATCTATGTTTCCGTGGCAGTACCTCACGTAAAGAGGATTCACGATAAGAAAATGATGCATCAGCAAGCTCTGAAGCTCCTCAAATGCTTGTGCAAGAACATGGAGTCATTGAAGTATAAAGAAGCTTCTATGATCTACAGAGACGCTGTGCTCACGGCTGCCCGCTTAGGGATCCACGAGGTTGTGGAAGCAATTGTGGCGACTTTCCCAGCCTCTATTTATTCTCAGCATGATGAGGCAAAGCAGTTCATGTTTCACCTGGCGGTGCATAACCGATGTGAAAGGGTTTTCAATTTGATTTACCAGACGAGCGATAATAAACACCACTATTTGGATTTGCTGGATTCCTCTGGCAATAGCCTCCTGCACTTGGCTGCCAGTTTGGCGCCTAGTCACAAGCTCAATGCAGTTTCCGGTGCAGCTCTTCAGATGCAACGTGAGATTCAGTGGTTTAAGGTAAAGTGAGTTTGTACTATGCTTTTGGTAATCATTTTGTGAATCTGCTCTCAATTGAACAATTTTGGACTGCAGTTTATTTTCATATAAACTATGCTATACTAAGAGGGATAAAAGAATTTAATACCGGAACGTATTCAACCTTTCAATTTTTGCAATTTTAACCCAACATTACTTTTTAGATTATGAATTAAGTACTCAAATTTTTTATTTTTATCCCCAAAATGACTTCTCATCGCTTTTATTACAAAAATTGCCATATGGCTCGTCAAAGTTACGTATTTTATTTCATACCTGAAAAGTCTAACACGGCAGAAATTATGAAGTGAAATTCTTTAAAAATGGCTATAGATGTCGAAAAAATGCGCACGTATGGCATGACAGTGGACAAGAACTCCTCAGCCGACAGGCCAAGTAAGCATTTTAACTGAAGAAAGGCCACCTCTGATAAAATAAACATTGAATGTTAAAATATTCGAGCGTAACGTTTTAAAGGTCGATCTAGAATTGTGAAAAATATAACAAGTTTGAGTATTTTCAATTTATTGACTTGAAAAAAACTAATAGCTATTAGCTCATCCTATAATTTTTGTATAATAACTACTAACTAACAACTCGGTAAACAGGAAGTCGAGAAGTTCGTCCATCCCTACTCGAGGGAGCGACCCAACCATGCCGGGAAAACCCCAAAGATGGTCTTCACCGAGGAACACAAGACTCTAAAATCGGAGGGCGAGAAGTGGATGAAGGACACGGCCAACTCGTGCACAATTGCCGCTGCCCTCATAGCCACCGTTGTCTTTGCCGCCGCTATCACTGTCCCCGGTGGCAGCGAGCCGACGGGACACCCAATCTTCCACACGAGGAGAGCCTTTTTAGTATTTGCTGTCTCAGATGCAATTTCCCTTTTCACGTCCACCACTTCCCTGCTCATGTTCCTGTCCGTGCTGACCTCACGGTATGCAGAGGAGGATTTCCTATATGCCTTGCCCACGAGGCTGTGTATTGGCCTCGTCGCCCTTTTCTTGTCGATATTTTTTATGATGGCGGCTTTTAGTACGACGGTTTTTTTGGTGTTTGGGCGGAGTAAAGCGTGGGTGTGGGGGCCTGTGCTTGGGCTAGCTTGCCTGCCTGTGACCTCATTCGTGCTGCTGCAATTCCCACTAATGGTGGATGTGGTGTGGTCTACATATGGTCGTGGCATTTTTGGAAAGCAGAGTGATAGCCCGTTTTACTAGTGAGTCTGACATCATCAACTCGTGTAGAGTTTTGTGTTTTTCCCGCGTAAGGTCTTTCCATGTGAGCCCAAGTAAAGATCTTGGGGTTGGGAAGAGATCGTCATTCTTCACTAATTCATGTAGAAAAATATTTATTTTTTATTTTTTATTTTTTATTTTTGACTTCAAGATCTTTCACCATAATGTTTTGTATGCTGCAATTAATGTTGGAAAATATATATTTTTTTTATATTAACTAGTAAAGTGCACATGCGATGCATGTGGTGACGAATGTTTTTTGTCGATTAATTTTAGTAAGATAAATTAATTAATTTATTAAACATATGATTGTAGTAAGAAAAAATAAAATGTAGATTAAATAAACTCTTAATTTTTTTTTTTTAAAAATAATATAATGATGTCGCAATATAAAATTTGTTAAATAATATATTACAAACGCCAACAAAAATATATGAAAATGAGTCCATAACAAAAAACACTAAATAAGGACCTAATGTATATTATAGATGCATGAGTTCTTTTATGTAGAATCAAGAGTGATTTTCTTTCATTCTAAGAGCATCTCCAATGCTCAATGTTGTAGTACCAAATTACATTCCAAATCAACACATTTATTAATATTACAACTTTTTATCCTCCAATGTACAATGTGATCATAAATATTGTGATGATGTGGACATAATTAATGTCTACAATGTAGAGAAGAATGTGGTTCATCCACATTCTCCTCCACACTCTAGTTAGCCAATGAAGAGAAGAGAGAGAATTGCTATTACCATTTTTAAGCTATTTAATTATTTGATTAATTTTATTAATTCATATTAAAATTTTAATATTTAGCAAGTAAATAATATTGTAATTTAACTACATTGTGCATTGAAGATGATTTTTTAATTTAATAGTTGTGAACTCAACATTTGTCCTACATGGTTCACAATCTACTTAATTTTTTGACATTTGTCAAAATTTATCCTACTACAATATTAGAGCATTGGAGATGCTCTAATTTGATGTTCTCATAAGAAACATTTATACTCGTTGTATTCCAATACATCAACAGTATTGTTAATTTTTTCTTAATTAATTTGGTAAAACGTGTGCTTTATTCAACACTTAGAGATACTTTAGCCAAACATATAGTCAAACTTCATGATTGTATGATCATTATAAAGTATATTTACTAACAGTTCATAAATATCTCTGTGATATAACCAACTGTATCATTAGAGTTCCTGATACTTGTGTCATTAAAATTCTTGATATTTTTTTAATCATTGTATAAAATATTATATTACTCTCTCTCTCTCTCTCTCTCTCTCTCTCTCTCTCTCTCCCTCTCCATATAACAAATTGGTACTTACTCCATGGGGTAAGAACGAATTTAATCTCTAAATAAAAATTAATTTTCCAAAATCATGTACTTCTCCGAAGTTGCTAAATTATTTTTTAAAATTATCACACATCACATTAAAATACGTATTTTAAAGTAACTGTACATATGATCGAGCACAATACACAATTAAGATAGAGAAATTGGTACTTACTCCATAGGGTGGAAACGAATTTAATCTCTAAATAAAAGTTAATTTTTCAAAATCATGTACTTCTTCGAAGTCGCTAAATTATTTTTTTAAAATTATAACACATCACATTAAAATACGTATTCTAAAGTAATTTCACATATGATCGAGCCCAATACACAATTAAGATTGTAAATATTCTATCAAAAGTGAACTTATTCAATCATTCAAAAATAATTTAATCATAATCAAACATTCCCTTTTCAATGTTATTTATTTGGACGATAGATGAACTACATAACCTATTATTTACAACTTGCATATCATTGAACATTTTAGTTGTTGCAATGATTTTAGAGTTGTTTATCATAAAACATTTCACATTCGTTTGGATTACTTGCAATATTTATGTGTCTAATATTTTATTTAATGCATTTATTGTCCACTTTTTGTATCATAACTAATGCTTCGAAAATTCAAGATAATGATCATTTCTTGATTCTTCAATAATAACAAAACAAAACAAAACAATGAGACAATATTGAGACGCATATTATCTGTCAAAATATTTTAGATGAGAAGAATTTGAATTCTATTATATTATGATCCTCTTAGTCATTTGTTAACTTTACTATTATGAAGTCATTATTAAAGTTCCTGGTTTATATTATTATAATATCAAATCACTATTTATGAGAACCAATTTCTTATAGATAACATATATTTAAATGCTAGCAACAAAAAAGTAGTAATTTTCAAAGATTTTTGTTTCTTAATATTGGTATTCATACTTTTCTAAAAAAGTTCTGACCGTTTCTTTTCCCCATTACATTACTATTTGTTTTTTATTTTTATTCACAAATAATATTTTATTTGTTGAAAAAATTAGAGCACATTTATACACATTGAGTTTTTTTTTTCTTACGTGTTTGATAGTAATAATATATTTGACAAAAATGTACTTTTATATTGTTTATAAAATTAAAAAGTTTTTGGATTTTTTTCCATTGATGATAAACTCCTAAGTAACTAATTTATTTTCATATCCACAAAAAATATATTTTTAAAACCATTATGGTGTTCTCTTTCAAGCAATAATTGCATAATAGTTTAACATATAACTCATTTATTTTTTCTTTTAATTCATATAGTTAATATTGGTAATAGATGTACGTTTACATCCAATTACACTTTTTTCTTATTATTGAATATTTCAAATCTATGTAAGAAAAATATACCACAAGTTTATCCAATATTATTTTATAATTAATAAAATTGAGTTAACATGGATCTATAAATTGGTATATATTATTTTAAATTGGTATATGTATATATATATATATTTTATTTACAATGCATTGGTCAAATCAAACATCATGAGAAAAAAATCATGTGATATATTAAATATAAAAGTGAAACAAAAAAAATATTAAGTATTTCAAAATTTAAAATTTTAATGGTAAAAATTAATTAAATTGTTAACTAAAAAGATGACGACTAACATACATATTTTTAACACAAAAAGATAAATATAGTTTTTACAAATGTGCATCTCAAGTATGTTTTACATTTATCATTCGCTAGCTTCAATTGATATGGGACATTTACTAATTTTATTTTTTATTATTTCTTTTGGATGGAATGTGAGCTATAATCTTTCTCATTATGTAGTTTTACCTTTTCATCATGTAGAACAATATTCTTACCTCTTGTTTAGTATTAGTCTTACCTTTTTATTACATTGAACATCATTCTTACTTCTTGTTTAGTTGTTATAATACTAATAAAATAATTAACTGCACACAATATTATATATAGTGGTTTTTTTTTTTTTATTTGGAGTCATACTTTTACTGCAAGAAAATGATGAAATTCTAATGAAAGCATATTACAACAGAATTTCAACAAGAACTCTAATGAATATTTCAATGTTACAATTCTCGTTTGAATTTTTCAATGAATATTTTAACAAAAATACTTTGTTAGAATTATGGGCAGATCCATGTTTGTCTAATAGTCCCGACACATGGCTCATCCCAAAACATATAGTATAAGATATCTAACAAAAATTATGGGAACATTTTTCATAATTTTAATCATGCCCTTTATTAAAATAAAATTAAACGAAAGAAAGATAAATAATAAATTAATTTAAAACTCAATCAATTATAATTTAGTTCAACTCAAAACTATATCAAAGTTATAATATAAATGCAATATTACAACAAAACGAAATATAATAGTTATCAAAATTTACAATTTTACGCTCTATTCTCTATTTTCTTTTTAATCTTGATGATAGCTTATATTCTCTCTTTTGCGACATAATTTTATCTAACTTTAAAAAAATATTTTTATGTCTTTTTAACTATATGTAGAATTCTAGTTATATATTCGTAAATTATACATTAATCAATTATATTGTCGAGTCAACTATACTATAACATAAAATATTCGTTCATAATTTTTTTAAAAAAATATAATATTTTTTTATTATTTTCATATGTCGAATTGAGAAAAAAAAATTCTTTTCTTTTTAATATTATTGAACATATTGTTGTTGTATTAATGTGTAAAAAAAAGTATTACATATGAGAAAGATAACAAATAATAAAAACTATAATTCATAAATTGTAATGGCATTATGTTATTTTGATGGTACACTTATTAATCCACAAAATTCTATTGTAATTTAATTTGATATCTATTGGAACAACATTATTTTTTCGTTATTACATTTTCTCATATTTTTTAGTAAGTATTAAAACTTAGTTATATTTTTAATATTATGTATCAGATTTAATATTTTATTACTTTATATTGTTCTTTCATATGTTATATATATAACCTTTAGATTTGTTAAAAAATACATAAAATTAAGTATATAACTTTTTTTGGGTCTTATTATATCCATTATAGTTGTACATCTATATAATATATTATATATATAATTATAATTTTATCATTAATATTATACTCAAATATTGAAAAAAATATGTACATTTTTTTTTAATAAAAAGTTATTTAGCTAATTCGGTCGTTGGCTGTATATTCGGCTGAATACTTGTTATCTAGTCTCGTTTTGTTATTAATATAAGTCCTTTTTAACGTTCTGTTTCAAAAAAAGATACGTGAGTAATGGTACTATATGAATATAATTTCTTGATAAAAGTTTATTTATTTTCAGCGTATATAGACATATTATAGTTCTCTAGATATTTTGAATTAATTTTCAAGATAATGACCAATAAAAGTATATATAACTATTGTCTATCACCTAAAACTTACACCTAGAATTAATAAGAACAAAAAATTAACAAGCGTTTAACAACTCAGCTCGTTTACATCAATAAGTACAAGTTTTAAAAGTTTGATCTTTATTTTTATTAACCATAACATTTTATTTATTACTTTTTTTCATATTTTTTAGTAAGTGTTACAACTTAAGTGTATTTTAATATTATTTATCAAATTTAATATGTTTTTTCTTTATATTGTTATTTTATATGTTTTAATATATATATATATATATATATATATTCCTTTATAATGTTTTTTTTCCTTAATATATTTGTTAGAAGAATATATAAAATTAAATATAGAACCTTTTGGGACAGTTGTCTTATTATAATCAATTAATTGTATATTTTTTATTTTATTATATATAATTAAATTTTTCTCATTAATATTATACTCAAATATAAAAAAATTAATTATCTACTTTTTTTTAATAAAAAAGTACTTTATTAAAATAATACAGATAAATAGATAGATAAATAATGGTAATATATCGATATAATCTATTGCTAAAATTAATTAATTTTCAACGTATATGTGCATATCATGATTTTCTAATTATTTTTTAATTAATAGATAATCATGTAATTTAAATTAAATCATGTTGCTCAAGCAGTATACATTTGAAATAAAAATAAAATAGTATGTGTTTTAGTATTATGCAATTTCGTAAAAGTAGATTAGAAGTTTAGGCTGCAAAACAATCATTCAACAATTAATTTTTCATACTATTACATTATTTTTATAGGTTATATTGAAAAAAAACGTTTTATAATTTATGAGTGTTGTGAGGAAAAACATTATCGATTTTAATTTTTTTAGTTATAGTTATTAATAATAGATGAGTAATGATGATATATGATATAATTTATTGGTAAAAATTAATTAATTTTCAGCGTATAAGCATATCATGATTCTCTAGACATCTTAATTAATTCGTAGATAATTATATGATCAAACTTAAATCATGCTGCTCAAGCAATATCCCATTCGACTAAAAAATGGATTGGATTTTAGTATTATATAATTTCATAAAATTACAATAATCTTATTTTAAGTAAAAAATTTGAGTATTGTAGAGTTTAGGTTGCAAAATAATTATTCAACAATTTATTTCTCATACTATTACACAATTTACTTTTTTTTTTCTAATTTATTATGAAAAAAATATATTAACTTTTTATTAGACATATTTTTAATGTCAAATTAGTAATATACTAATACTTATTTAATATTTAATTAATTAAATACAATTAATGATCAAACTTAAATCATGCTGCTCAAACAATATCCCATTCGACTAAAAAATGGATTGGATTTTAGTATTATATAATTTCATAAAATTACAATAATCTTATTTTAAGTAAAAAATTTGAGTATTTTAGAGTTTAGGTTGCAAAATAATTATTCAACAATTTATTTCTCATACTATTACACAATTTACTTTTTTTTTTTCTAATTTATTATGAAAAAAATATATTAACTTTTTATTAGACATATTTTTAATGTCAAATTAGTAATATACTAATACTTATTTAATATTTAATTAATTAAATACAATTAATGATCAAACTTAAATCATGCTGCTCAAACAATATCCCATTCGACTAAAAAATGGATTGGATTTTAGTATTATATAATTTCATAAAATTACAATAATCTTATTTTAAGTAAAAAATTTGAGTATTTTAGAGTTTAGGTTGCAAAATAATTATTCAACAATTTATTTCTCATACTATTACACAATTTACCTTTTTTTTTTCTAATTTATTATGAAAAAAATATATTAACTTTTTATTTGACATATTTTTAATGTCAAATTAGTAATATACTAATACTTATTTAATATTTAATTAATTAAATACAATTACACAAACCAAATATTCTAGACTAAAGTGCAATTTCTATTCTAGTTCTAAATATAAGAGTTTACTTTCTTAAATAATGAAGTAGCTAAATGAAACTGTTCAATTTCGCTAGTTTGTAAGATAATGTATAAAATTATATTAAAAACAAGGATTTTTTTAAAACAACAATTCTATATCTTTTCAAAACTTTGTTGTTTAGGTTGATGTTGGGTTGATTTTTGGGAGATATGTGGAAGAAAGCCATTCGTGATAAAGAATTGTGCGTGAATATTTTGTTTGATTTTTAGGAGATGTGAAATATATTATTCTTGTATTTGTATTTAATAAATTAAGCATTAGTTATTAATTAAAAATATAAGATATGATGGGTATTAGTGTATTACTTATTTGCCATTAAAAACATGTTAAAGTAAGGGTTTTTTAGTTAATTCATCTTTTTAATTAAAAATATAAATAAATATGTATTAGTGTATTACTAATTTGCCATTAAAAATATGTCAAAGTAAGGTTATTTTAGGTAGCTCATATTTTTACAAAAACACTCGTCCTTTTAGAGTAGTATAGATAATATCTTTTAGTATCAATTGTTTTCCGATTTAGTGCGTGTGTGAAACCACACGGGTTTTCTTTCGTACAATACTTCCATTCCTAAATCCTAACACCCCACGTTGGATGCATTCATACTAACCGCCAATTATTATTTCCGCATTGAAGAACAGAAGAAAATAGTAATGTGAAAGAGGCCCTAGTGTTTTTGCAATTGCGTTACACTTTGTATTAACTCAGATTTTGCTATTATCTTTTATACTAGTACTAATCCTATCGAATGCACTATTATAAATAAAAGTATTATAAATTATATGTATGTGTTCACATCTGATCTAGCTAAGACATTCCCCAAGAAACATGTGTCCGCCGCAAAAAGTAAAGAAAACCGAACCGCCAAGATCGATTGAACCAAAAAACCACTAAAATATGATCAAATACAATACGTGAGGTCAGTACAACACGAGAAATTCTATTGCCGAACAACAATAACCGACTTGATAATTCGGTAGCTTAAGTGGAATCTAATTGTACCATCTTAAATGAAGCCATAAATGAAGACAAGATGCTTATGGGACAACTCATCAGTACGAAGTCGAGCAGAGCCCAAAACGTCAAGTAACCGACCCATTCAATTAAAAGCAATCTAGCCATGCAAATGATTACTGACAAGACGTTTACTCACCCATATGTCGGGATACATGTCACCTGGAGAACTCACTTTGTCATGCAGACTGATCCCTACCATAATTTAGGAACCTAAGTGTGCACTTGTATTGCACTCAGGGGCGTCCCGGTCAAATCAGGGGCCCAGTGCGAAATTCCAAGATGGGGCCCTAATGGCCTATTAAAATTAAACAATAATAACAAATAACATATAAATGGGATATTTCAAGAATTATCGTATCTACTGTTTACTTGAAGAAACTTATTCTTTGGGCATTCTTTGAAATAAAGTCTTCAATGATGCGCTCATAATTAATCTTCTCCAGTATGTCACTCTCAATTGCTATCATAGCCAAATCATTGAGCCTTTCTTGTGTCATTGTGGAACGCAAGTAGGACTTTAATAGCTTCAACTTTGAAAAGCTCCGTTCCGCCGACGCAACAGTCACGGGAATAGTCAACATAACTCTATATGTAATACTTGCATTTGGAAAGCAATCATGTCACTTTAAAAATTTCAAAATTTCAACTGGCCCCATATCATCCTTCCGCAGACTGTGTGGCCAAGTTTGTGTCATCCGGGCTCTCATCAAATTGTCTTTTTCTTGTAATTTTTTGTTTCTTACGAAATATTGTACCAATATCCATCTCAAGTGCAATTCCTTTGGCTGGCTCTAGTGCCTCCAAAAAACCAGTTTCCCTATACTTTTTGAAGAAAGAAATCAACCCTTCCACTTTCTCAATAGCAACATCAATAAGCATATCTTTTGCTTGCAAATGTTTGCTCACTAAATTAACAACATACAATACTTCATACCAAATGACTATTGCCAGTATAAATTCAAACTCTCCGAGTTCATTATTTGCCAAACCTTTAGCCTCGCTACTTGATCCAGGATCATTATCAGTATCAGATACCTGAAATTGGAATAAAGAAAATATGTATTAATATGTGTGTTACCAAAGGGATTACATCATTATCAATAAAAAAAATCAATTACCTGAAGCAGAGCCTCTCGAATGTCTGCACATTGAAATCGAATAGCTTTAACACTTTCAATACGACTCTCCCAACGTGTAGCTGACACTGACTTGAGGGTCAATCCTGATATGTTATCTTTCAGAATCTGCCATTTCTTAGTTGACTTAGCAAAAGTGGTGTAGATGCGTTGGATTATTCCAAAGAAGTCTTTAGCACAAGATTTGGCCATATCACAAAGTGTTAAATTAAGACTGTGGCAACCACAAGCAGAATAGAAAGCTCTAGGATTTACATCCAAGAGTTTCTTTTGTACTCCTTGATTTCTTCCTTTCATATTTGACCCATTATCATAACCTTGTCCTCTCACATCATCTATATCAAGACCAAGACTCTTTAATTCACTTACTAGGACATCAAAAAGGCCTTGCCCAGTTGTATCATTTACATCTAAAAATCCTATAAATGATTCTTCAATTTGAACATCGATTGAAGATAAATCCACATATCTTATAATCAAAGACATTTGTTCTTGGTGGCTTGCATCGGGAGTACAATCAAGAATGACAGAGAAATACTTTGCACTCTTTATTTTCTTAATAGTTTCAGACTTAATAGCAGAAGTAAGCAGGTGTATCGACTCATTCTGAATTCTAGGCCCCAAATAATGGACATGAGTTTCTTCATTTGTAATACGACGAACATGCTCTTGAATAATTGGATCAAATTCAGCCAACATTTCAATTAAACCCAAGAAATTCCCATTGCTATCATCATACAGTTTGCTATTATGGCCACGAAATGCTAGATTATGCTTGGCTAGAAATTTAACAATGGCCACTATTCTGAAGAGAACTTTTCTCCAGTGCTCTTTTTCTTTCTCAAGTTGTCGTTGAGCATCTTTATCAATACCTTCACCCTTTTCCAAGTTATTACGCAGATCATACCAAGTAGTCATATTCAAAACATGATCAGAACTTGTTTCATGCTCACCAAGTCTTTCATAAAGATGTGTCCAATCATTAAACCCATTATTTGCCAACTGACCGTTCCGATGCCCATTTGTAAGCAATTTACAGTTGAAGCAAAAAACTCTATCTAGTTCTTTGGAATACACAAGCCAATCTCTATTGCACCCCTCCCCATTTCGTAGGATTCTAGTATAGACTAGTGCAGAAAACCTTCTGCCATATCTATCCTTAGGACCTTTCACAATGGATAAATCTCTTTTAGGACCCTTTTGTGCTAAAATGTCAATCTGCCTAGGACCAAGGGAATCCCAATACCTTGGATCAAATATGTCAGGCGAAAAAGAAGTATCAACATTGGCATCATGAGAAGAACTATCCAAGTTAACATCAATGCTAGTGCCATCCATGTTATCACCATTATTAGGAACTTCCTTAATGTTTTCCTCAAGTGTAGGAGGAATGTTCTCTACCCGTGTCTCAGTCTCACCATCATTAGGAACATTAGTATTTTGTATAGTACCCTGATCAAGTGTCTGATTAACTGGTGGTTCTTTCCTAATAAATCTTTCCATGGCCCCTCTCTGAGATTCAATTAGTTCATCGACTCTTTGTTTCTTTCTACGCTTTTGATAGCCGGAATCATATTTCCTATGATGATTTGCCGATGACATGACTTGCATTTGCAATGGAAAGAACAAAATTAATTGATGTATTTTAATCAAGACATAGACATCAACATGATTAAATGATGAAAGATTGAAAGAAGATAATAAAATGAAACTAATCCTTAGTCTTATACCTGCTGGCTGCTCTTGGCCTCGCGCGTGGCCTTGGTGAGGCGAGAAGTGGCCACAACCAGATGGCAGATGGCGATGGCGCCGATGGGCGATGCTGCATTGGCTCTACAGCTGTTGCGGGATGTTGTAATTTATATAATTTTTGTAATTTTCTCTGTATTTAATTTACTGTAAATGGAAGAATGAAGGTAAGATTGGGGAAGAATAAAGAAGAGAGCAAGAGAGAGAAAGTGAGGACGAAGCAGAAATTGCTGATTGATTCCTTTTGTTCATTGCATCACATGCTTTATACTATTTGTTTTTTTTTTTTGGTACAAATGCTTTATACTATTTGGACCCACATAATTTGCCAATACAAATAATAAAAAACTCAAAATAATAAATGTTGATATGTGTGACTTCAATTAGTGCCTTTGCCACGTGCCTTGACCAAATGCCTCAATTCTTCAATTTGTCTTTTCTTCTCCACACCAATTCCATTTTCCCTTTTCTGCATTTCTTCTGCAACTTCCCCAAAGCCGATTTCTTCTCCAATCTGATCTCGAAGGTGAAGCTTATATTTTGGGGGCCCTGTGCGGTCGCACAGCCCGCACGGGCCCAAGGACGCCCCTGATTGCACTTGTAGTGTACTATAAATATCACCTATTTTTTTACTGAGGGACCCAACTACTATAAGTAAATTGAACGTACTCTAAGTAATAATAGAGAAAAATATCGAATTGCTTTTCTGTTTGACTTATGTTTTTTTTTTTTCTTTTTTTCTTTTTATCAATTTTCTTTTTTTTTCAACAAATTAAATTACATTTTCGTTGCATCAAATTTGGGTGGGCAACATCTTGGTGCTAGAAGAAGGACCCATTTGTTGTTTGGTGTAACCACACCGAAAAAAGCCACCAATCGCCAGTAAAATATCTTCATCTTGTGGCAATACTTGAAATGATTCCCCAGAAACCTAACAAACCAACCAAACCATAACACGGTGTGAACCTTGAATTTTGTTACATTATCCCGGAATCTAGATTTCTTGAATGGATTCTTTAACCTACTCTCACAAACGCTCCCTTCACCATCAACACTCCCTAAAATGGTTGCTCAAAAAGATACCAATCCTACTCTTGAAAAATAAAAGTCGGTTCACTCTCAACCTTCACAATCCAACAATAATCGACCTTAAAACCGTAAAGAAGCCGCTCTTACTCGCATTCGTAGAGAAGAAATCGAAGAATGTAAATTTGAAGATAATGTCATGGAAAAGGCAGTGAAATTGGCCAGAGTTGGTGAAATTAGGTTAGAGATTTGCTCATCGAAAAGGAAAAAATAAAAGATGAAGAGATGGGCAAACGCAAGAATAAGGAATGAGGTTATCCGAAATGTGGGCCGTATACGTGGAGACCTGATATGAAGTGTTTGGTGATTTAAGAATTACATATTTACTTAAGTAGTAGAATGAGACCATTATATGCCTATTATTAGTACTGAGGTCATATTGGGAAATGTAAGACAAAATGTGAAATGGCATGTGGGCCAAGCTACCTATAAGATGCGAGATGTACACTTGAAATTGGTTATGCAATTACAAAAATCATTTCTACCTTACATATTCTATCTTTTTCTCCTAATTTGATCATCATCTTCCTCATTTCTTCTCCCTCAAATTTTCCATTCTACGCTTATTACAAATTAAACAAATTCCATAAAAAAAAAATAAAAAAAAATCGGAACATCATAAATTCTATTTGCCCCCTCCANAAAAAAAAAAAAAAAAAATGCTTGGATCAATTTGTGCAAACTAAATTCATGAAAAGGGATGTAACAAAATTAAGCTTTAGGAGCTAATGACAGACATCACTGTTGGAGTACAAGAATAGATGTTGGGCATCACCTCAAAATATGAGCATCTTGCTTACACCTTAGCTAGCATTCAACCGTAGCTACTCAACATGAACTCAAGCAAGAACACTCATAAAGAAGAATCGATACTAGTAATCCAAATGAAGCTTTAAATTCAAGAACCAACACTCAAAACGAACGACAATTGAAACAGCCTCAATTACAAACCATAAGCCCAATTCCAAAGCTAGAGTTTCCTAGGTTTGATGGACAAAACTCTAGAGTACGGATATTAAAGTGTAACAACTACTTTAAATTGATCCTCAATATGCCAGACAGTCAAAAGGTAGTTCTAGCTTTCATGCATTTTGAGGAAAGGCTTCCATATGGTACCACAATTTCAGCCTAGGTCAGAAATATCTTATATGGGCTCAATTCATTGAGATAATCTCAACACGGTTTGAAGATCTCAAGGAGGCTAAGATAATTGCTGTGTTTAACAAACTCAAAACAGACTGACACTTATAGTGATTATGTGAAAAGGTTTGAAGAACTTAAATCATGCATGATGCTACTTAAGAATGGGAACTATTCAGAAGAATATTTCATGGCCAAATTTATCAGTGAACTGATTCAGGATTTGCACGCTTTTATTACTATGTTCAGTCCCATAAATCTGCAACAAACCATTGATTTGGATAGGAATTAGATCCATGCCTTGGTTTCTATTACTAAGAAGATCAAGAGCAGTAACATGCCTCACTATACATACTCACAAGAGCCTAAGAGGTCAGATGGTGTGGTGCCAAACATTCATGGGGCACAACTGAAAACCCCATGTTAAATTGTTAAATAATTCTGAGATGGCATCTAGGAGGGAAAAAGGGTTGCAGTATAACAGTGATGGAAAGTTCACTACGGAGCACATGTGTAAGAATAGGATCACCGACATGATTATGACTAGGGTGTTGGTGGATATACAAAAAGCTTGAATTTTCGTGGACAACTAATCCCGTTTGAGTGAGAATCATGTTTAATTGAATAGTCTACGTCCTAATGTATTATGGTAACACAAAACACTCCGACCGGCTTGGAATCGGTTTGCTTCCTTCTTCCTTGCCGATAGAACGCCGCGTCCCTGCACAGAACTCTCACACCGGTGGGGTTTTCCGGTGAAAAGCCTCCGATGCTTAAGTCAGTATATGTTTGTTCAATTTTCCAAAGTAAAGAATGGACAAATCGTAAACCCTAAGAAAAGACCCACTCCCATATATATAGGAGTGAGATACCTGCCCTAAGAGCTGCCCGGATATTGGTGAGCTGTCCTGCCCATGCTGCCCGTCCGTACGCACACAGTGTGTGTGTTGTCAGAAATGTCAGGGGTGTCAGAGGTGGTTGTTGCCACTATCACTCTGCACCAATACGTTTTCGCCACGTGCCCCCCTCTGAGCTGAGGGGAATTATTCCCTTGCGCAAACTGTTGGGATCTCCTGACCTCACTCACGCGCCCACTCGCGTTCAAGTCACGCTCTCGACTGCTTCCTACCTGCTGCGTGCTCGATCTGATCGAGCTCCCCCTTACTAAATCGATCCTCGACCAGCTCCGCTATTCTGCTCGATCTATTCCGTTTTGGTCGATCATCCTTCAACCAACGTGGTTTTCTCCACCCTATGCCTGCCTGACCAACATAATGGACCGGTCTGCTCCTTAGTCGTATAATATCCCATATCATCTAGTCCCCCCCACTCTGGTTGAGTCTGAATGACTCGATCTAAGAGTGGATTCGAGCTGTCTTCTTCGTTCTACTTATTTTTTCGATCATTTTTGTTGGTGTCACCCTCTGGTCTCCTCTCTCGATCACTTTTTCATTGATGTCGCCCTCTGGCCTTTTCTCTCGATCACTTTGTTGATGTCGCTATCTGGCCTTTCCTCTCGATCACTTTTCATTGATGTCGCCCTCTGGCCTTTCCTCTCGATCACTTTGTTGATGTCGCTATCTGGCCTTTCCTCTCGATCACTTTTCTTTTATCGCACGCTATGATTGCTTTTTATTTCTTTTTATTACTAGCGTGATTTCCGCTTGCCACATGTCTTCCTTTTCTGTACTTTTAATCATCACGTCTTCTCGCGATTTGTGTCGCTTCAATATCTGCGCCTCTTTAATGTTTCCCACCGTTTGGATCTTCTTTTATCCAACGGTCATATCCACTAACTCTTTGCTTTATTTATTTGTACCCCTATAAATGCGGTACTTAGCCACTTTTTCACTTTCTCCACTTTCGCAATTTCGAACTCTCTGGCATTCCGATTTCTTTCTCTGCAAATTTCTCCTTCCTGCACTCGACGTCTCTTCAAGCGATTTCCGGCGACCCTTCCTCTACCGCGACCATGAGTAAGTCTTTTGTATTTCAATTTCATATTTGCGTGCGTTTATTTTGTCAATTTGCGATTCTCCTTGGTACTTCTTCTTTTTCCCCAAATTCCTCTCATTTCACCTGTGACAGAAAACCTCCATTTTCTGCTTTCAAAAACCCTAACTCCTTTTCTCTTCGCCTTACTTTCTCGCTCTACTTTTCAGATTCCGCTGATTCTAGCGCACCAAGCCATCACTCCGGCGAGGATGAGACATGCACATCATCGTTTCCCGTTCGCCAACCTATTCCTCATTCACCTTCTCGTTCTGTTGAGGAGATCTACAACCCCGTCCCTATTAGTGTTTTACGCCCTTCCGACTGCACCACACCTTCTCCTCCTCGCCGATCTACTCGTCCGATTGATGAATCGGATGGGGATACCCTCGATCACATCCCCCTGAATCGTCGCCGACCGGCGTTTGGGGCCTCTGATGCCGTTGAAGAGGCCCTCGATGCCGCCGAAACCGCTGCTGAGAAAGACGAAGACAATATTCCTCTTTCTCGCCATTCCATTTTTGGTCGGGCTGCCTCTTCATCTATCCCCGCCTCTACTTCTCCTAAGGCTGCTCTTAAGAAGGGTAAGTCGGCTAAGGTGTCCACCTCTTCCAAAAAGGCTTCTTCTTCCTCTCGTTCCCTCATAGCTGGCTAGTTGGATGCCGAAGAAGTTGGCTATCCTGCCAGTTGGGCTTTTTTGTCCCCGAGCTCTCGAGACACCTATGACCACCCTCCCCAAAACTGTTATACTTTCTTTGAAATTCAATTTAAACTTGGCATCCGCTTTCCCTTAAGCCAGGATTTGATCGATCTCTGCAAGTGGTTCGACCTACACTTGAACCAACTTCCACCTAACGCCATCCGATTTATTACCGTCTTCATCATCCTTTGCCGCATCCGTCTAGGTCGACTTGACCTGGATTTTTTCCATTACTGCTATATTCCCTCAAAACATGCTCAGGGGATCTACCTCAAGAGCCGCAACGATGTCCATTTCATTTCGGACACCCCTTTAAACGTCCCCAGATGGAAAGACAAATTCGCTTTTGTCGAGCCCAAACCTGCTTTCCCTTGGGCCCCATCTCCTTGGCTTAAGGAACTCCCTCGGGAATACTCCGTACCTTCCACCAACGCACTTTTCGACCAACGGATTGCAGTATGGAATAGCAAGCCCGTTGCGTCGAAGACCCTTCTTGAGGATGAGAACCTCCTGCATTTTTGTGGGCTGCTTACCCACAAATCGTGTCCTCTTCCTAGTCAAAAGACTTTCGATCTTATCCGGATCGAGGGCGACCCAGGTATGTATTTTTGCTAAATAGGCTTGAGCATCGCCATGTGTGTCACATATATTATGTATTCATTGCGGTTTTGACCTGCGCGTACATTTTTTTGCAGAGATGCCCACTATTTCTGTGCCTAGAATTAAAGCTCCCCTGAAGAAGAAAACCGCTGTTGAGGGGTCGAGTTCCAAGCCTGCTGACCTAACCCCTCACAACCTGTGCGCTCGACCTCACCTCCTCCTAATGTAACTGCCGAACAACCATCTTCGGTCCAGCCTCCCGCTGACCAGCCAACCGAGCCATCCGACCAGCATCAGAGGCCCTCCTCTCCCCCGCGCGAACCTTCTCCGGCGCGTTCTCCTTCACACAACCAGCCTACCCCAATCATACACGTTCCCGCTTCTCCTGAGCAGACTCAGCTCAGAGAAAATCTGCTTAAGCGTCCCCTTGCTGCAGGGGATGAGGATGTCGGCAAGCGCCGTCGCGTTGAGGAAACTGCGCTGTCGATTACCACCTTTGACGGCTTAAGATTCTCGCATTTTTTCCGGGACGTTCTTCCTCCCGTCGACCATCCTACCGACTGCTATAACGATGGTCATACCCTGCGAGATCGAGGCCATCGGCTCGCTCGCTGGCTGGCTCAGGTGATCTTCTGTGACTTAACACCTATCTGTTTTATTTCATCTTCCTTCCTTCGTTAGTGTTCTTAACACTTTCTTGTACACGCCTTTATAGGAAATGGTTGAGCTCGCGCCATTTATCGAGCAAATGTTGGCAAGTCCGGGTCGATCTATCTCGGCCCTCGAGCGGAGTAATCTTCGTCTTGGCACTCATCTGCAGGAAACTATTGCCAAGGCAAACGATCTCCACGAGAGGTTAAAGGAGTCGGCTGCCCGTAATAAGGCTCTTTCTGACGAGAAGGATACGCTTGAGGGAACGCTGAAATCCTTCGAGGAGGCTCTCTCGGCCGAGCAAGCCGAAAAAGAGGCCCTCCGAGTTTCCCAGAAGGCCCTTGAAAACGCGCTCGAGGAGGAAAAATCAGCTCGAGCATGTGAAAACGTTGCTTTTGAGCAAAGGGCGAAGCCCTTGATCGACGAGGCTGTCCTTCGAGCCCGGCGTATGCTCTTTCACACAACCGCTAGCCA